AAAAGTAATAAGATTAATTCCAGCTTACTATGCTCTTCGAGGAGCTAAAAAATAGTCCCGAAAAGCGTGAACGTTTACGAGGGGTCATTCCGGCACTAGTAGCTGCTGCTGAGAAACAAAATTTCGGTATTGTTTTCAATTCTTTAAAAAGTAAACTTGATTTTGTTGTGTAATTATTCATGAATAATTCAATAAGACATTGTGGAATTATTGAATTGGTCGAAAGCTGAGTTTCGAAGCTTGCAATTATTAGAAGAATGGGAGGAACGAATCGGTAAACGTTTATCGGTATAAAGGAAACCTCAAAGCGATAAAAAAAGATGAAGGAGGTGCATGGCTAGATGTGTAGTGTTGGCCGTAATAATCACTGTATAAAACATACTGAATAGCAATAAAATCCTAGGAGTGACTTCAAGAAAACTATGGTGTGAGCAATCAGAGTGTTAATTTTGCACACTATCGTTTGAACATTGTCTAAAACTGTGTAACCAGAAAAGTATATGATAAAAAACTCAATTGCCTTCAGTTAAATTATACTTTAAATTTCTATGGGACTTACTGGATTACTTTGACGCAGTCAACGCATACAAAATTATTGATAGCAGTTTCAAGAAACAAAGAATTAAAGTAGTGAAATTCAGATGAATTTTGTGAGGGTTTCGTCAAGGAACGGGAGAATTCAATGGCACAACAACGCGCAATGTTAGATCCGTTGAGTGCCGAAGGTCAGAGGTTGATTGCCGAACAGATTCAACGTGCAAATATCGATTTCTCACACCAATTCGCAATGGAGCACATGCCCGAGGCGTACGTGCCTGTTACAATGCTCTATATCAATATGAAAATCAACGGTCAACCTGTTAAAGCCTTTGTTGATTCTGGTTTGTTTCTTCTCATAAGCATTTCACTCTTTTNTCTGAGCGCGTTGCAACCAATTGTAATTTAATGCATCTCGTCGATAAACGTTTTCAAGGTATTGTTCATGGTGTGGGTGGCGTTCAGAAACTAGTTGGTAAAATTCATACCTGTAAGTTTTTTGTCATATTTTTTGTTTTGTGATGCATTTGAGTGACATTCGATTGTGAACAATAATATGTTTTTTAAAATGGATTCCACAGAAATGGCTTAAACGAGAACTTTCATTTACTTTTTTATACATGTTTACTCGCTGTTTATAAGTTTTCTTATTAAGGCCAAGTTCAAGTCGAATCAAATTTCTTTCCGTGTAATTTTGATGTACTCGCTGATCGTGATATCGATGTTTTACTTGGATTGGATATTCTTAAGAGACATGAATGTGTGATCGATTTGAAAAATAGATGTTTACGGTGCGTTTGAAGTTCTCTTTGGGTGATTATTCATCGTTTATCTGAAGGCTTTTTTCAAAGAATTTCTTTATATTGTTACTGGAGATTGTTTAAATTAAAAGTTGTAATTTTATGAATGCTAACAATTACAGCTTCGGTGACTCAACAGTGACATCCTTCCTCAATGAAGCTGATATTCCAAAGAGGGATTTGGATAAGGCTGCATCGTCACCATCATCATCTTCTGCAAACGGTTTACTTTTCTTTTCAATTTTATGTTTTCCCGTATAATTTCAGGTGAATGTATTCGATTATTTCATTAATTCATTGAATATGGATGTTGAATAAGTTATCATAATCCTACTAAATCACAACCTTATTGACGAGGTTGTTTTGGCTCGCTAGTAGAATTCAGTTGGTTCAGCATTGCTGAACATTCTNGAAAACGGAGGTTACTGGTGTAGATGCGCTCGGAGTGAGGATTGCTTGATTTCAGTGGAGGTTGATAGTGCCAAATTAGCGTCGTTGATGTCTTTGGGTTTCGAAGAGGCTGCATCACGAGCAATGCTCATTCAGTGTGGCAACGATCTGGAATTGGCTGCTGCGAACTTATTGGCCAGACAAACAGCACAGTCCTAGTTGACTGATCCAGCCTGACATTGTGTCGGTCGCAGCTCAACCCGTTTCTTCCCACACTCAATTTTCGCCTTGATTCTTTCAATCTGTGTTTCATATAATTCTATTGTCAATGTCTTCACTTTATACTAAGTATTTATTCGTTTTGTTTTGTTGGTTACATTCGTCCGAAATACGCTCAAATTGTCACTCCCATTTTTGGTTATCTCTCACTTGGGTATCGTGATTTTATCGTTCGTTTCTGACTTTGATGTTTTTTGGTCTGTCATTTTCTTCATCATGTGTCGTTGTATTATCACAAATTGATTTGATTAATACAGTATTTATTCACAATTCCTTCTCCGCACCGGAGACAGTTACGAGGTAGAAGTCGATTAATTTGGAGAAGTCTAATTTAAATGAGATAATGAAGAGGGCAACGTTAATTTGTGGTCGTAGAATCAACTGCACATGGAATATTCCAAAATGTGAGTGTGATAGATGAGGATGCAAATATTAAATGTAGGGAGGAGGTACAGCCGTGAAGTCGCCTTGAAAGCCCTCTGCAGATGTTAGAATATCATCGAGGTGAATATTCATCCAGTCGTCATCATCATATTGTTTACAAGTGTGTCTCATTGTCCTCTGATCGTGTGAAAGTGATATGCTATCGTCGGTGCTTCATTATAATTCCTGTAAACTTATGTCATCTCGTATTGCATCTCACTCTGTCAATGTTTATCTCAATGATATTGTAATATTATCTGCGCTCTGTACCTTCGTTTCTTCGTTGTTATTGTAAAATATGAATTCGAACATCGTCTTTATTTTGGAATATTCACGATCAAAGGCGTGCCCTCTGCAACTGATTCTTGCTTATTTTAATGCGCACTCGACTTATCTCATTGTTTGTGAATCAATTTCTAAGTGGATTATGGCGTATTCTATGTGAATATGTTGTCTTATCTCTCCGCTCTGAATTGCGTCTTAAAATTCCTTATCAACATCGTCAGATATATAATCACCAATATTGTTTATGTAACGAGAGGAAGTATTTCTTGCTAAATTTACTTACAGCGATTTTGGATTTTATCATTTCGACTGTCTGTTTCAAATTTTATGGATAATATTCCCTTTCGGTATGATTTATTTGTAATAATAATAACAATAACAATATTACTTCTTACAATCATCCATTAGCATCATTATTGAGTCACTGAACTCAGCGTTTCGCATATATTCACTTCGAAGTGGGTCATCATGATCGTCTCTGTTACGACCAGTTTTTTTCGTTGCCATTGTACGGCACCGTACAATGAATATAATCATTCATATCGTCATCTACAAACAAACGTAAGATCAATAAACAGTGTAAAATAAACAGGCAGCCGAATGTTCATATCAAACTTTATGAACCTGTTACAATTCAGCGAAGAGAATGAATGAAGAGGTCAGCCTTGTAGTATGAGCTTAGAGAGTCGTATCGTTAGATAGTTTCTCATATTTGAATGGAGAAATCCTAATTAAGGAGATATTCGTATGTTTCTTCACGGATAGTCGGAAGTGTTTTGATTTATTGTGACTGTTAGTGAAATATGGGGAACGGGGAATTTCGGGGATTAGGGGGAATGCCGTTAGTCAAATTGACCTAGCATCTTAGAAAGGAGATTACTATGATATAGTCATCACCAAAGGGTGTGCTCGACCGCCTGTGTATGGTCCATGCTAACGAGGTGATGTGTCGAAGAAGAGAATGAAAATAATGGTGGTGACAGTTCTAAATTTGACTTTTATTAACGTTAGAACGAAAGGTTTTTCGGTCATCTCAGTATCAGTGGTACTCCTATTTCTGTTAATTGTAAGTTAGCCTGGTCTTTCTTAGACGATTCAGAGAACACGGCCGAGAAGAAGAGATTCACGTTGTCATTTCTGAATGTTGCTTACTTTTCTCGCTAACGACTGCATTGTTTATTTTTGATGTGGTTCAATGAAGTATTATTGTTATAACCGTAATATGGCTTCGCAATAATCTCTGCCCCACCCTACGAACTGCTTCATTTCAATGCCTTTCCGACACATATTCCTGTTTTTCAAGCTTTCACTGACTCCAGTTCAGAGTTTACATTTTCGGGGATCGGGGACGAAACTGAATTTTTTCCTCAAGTTTCCTGTCCCCGACTTTACCCGAATCGATTGC